TCATCATCCACCACCTCATCATCCTCCTGACCCTCCTAACCCTCCTAACCCTCCTAACCCTTCTAACCCTCCTACTCTCCTAGCCCCCCTCACCTCCGAACCCTCCTAACCCTCCTAACCCTCCTAACCTTCCTAACCCTCCTCACCTTCTAACCCTCTCAACCCTCCTAACCCTCCTAACCATCCTAACCATCCGAACCCTCATCCTTATCATCCTCCTGCTCCTCCTCCTCCTCCTCCTCCTCCTCCTCCTCCTCCTCATCATCATCATCATCATCATCATCATCATCATCATCATCATCATCATCACCCTCCTAACCCTCCTCCTCCTCCTCACCCTCCTAACCCTCCTCCTCCTCCTCCTCCTCCTCCTCCTCCTCCTCCTCCCTTGCCGCCGCGCGCCAGGTGTGCGAGACGCCCAGGCGGGTGAAGGACGGCCTAGTAGGGGGAGGAGGGGAGGCGGGACCCTGTCACGGGGGCGTCATGCCGACTTAAATTCCTGAGAGCCGGCTCTATATCTATGTATATATATATATATATATATGTGGATATATATATATATATATAAATATGTGTATAGCCCCTGCTCGCGCCGACCTCTAGCCTCCAAGACCTGCGTGGTGCCAGCGTGAGCCCAGCGAACGAGGGAGGATGTGGCCGACGGCGCTGAGGATGACGACGCCGCGGACGACAAGGACTGGACAGACAGCAGTGACCACGACGACGACGACGACGACGACGACGACGACGACACGACGGACGACGACGACGACGACGCCGACGACGACGACGACGACAACGACAACGACGACGACGACGGACGACGATAACGACGACGGCGACGACGACGACGACGAAGAAGACGACGGCGAGAAAGACGACGACGAGGAAGACGACGGCGTGATGCGGGACACCTGGCGCCTCAGATGACGAGGCAGCCGCAGCTGGGGCAAGAGACCAGGCAGGAGCAGAGAGACAGACAGAGAGAAGCGGGGGAGCGGGGGGGGCGGAGAGCTGGAGGAGGTGGGAAGGGGGGAGATGCGGCGGATGCGGCGGCAGGAGAGCAGCTTGGCGGCGCGCACAAGGGGGTAGTTAGGGGGAGGGGGAAGGCTTCTTAGAAGGAGGCTGTTTCTTTGAAGGCGCGGGCCTTACATCTCTAGATAAAGCCCGCGCCTTCTTAGAAGCAGGGTGCTTCCAAAGAAGCCTTCCCCCCTCTCCCTGAGTACCCCCCTCTGCGCGTCGCCGAGCAGAGGGAGCACCTTTTCGCGCGGGACGGGCGCGCACCGACAGGAGGGACCTACCCTCCACTCCGAGAGCAGCCCGCACCGCAGCCGTCTCCACCGCGGCAGTCGGATCCGCCGACACCCCCTTCGCTGGGAGGTGACCTGGGCCACCTTTCCTTGGGGGGGAGAGCGGCGAGCCGATGCGGAGTTCCAATGATACCGCCACGATATCCTGTTTGGAAGAAGGAGAAGAAGGAAGAGGAAAAAAGAATGATAAGAAGAAACAGCAGGAGCAGCAACTCCAACAACAGCAGCAGCAGCAACAGCAACCGCAACAGCAACAACAACAACAACAACAGCAGCAACGACAACGACAACAACAACAACAACAACAACAACAACAACAACAACAACAACAACAACAACAACAATTACTAGCACGTGGGGACACTCCGTTCTCACCAGTGCCAGGGTTTTCATAGGAGGCGGGCAATACCCCCACTTTGTGGGGGGGCCGGTTCAAGCTCTACCAAATTTCCAAACGACTCTTCGCCACCACCCACACCCAGCTTCCCGCCCTATGACGTTCGGACACTTCACTTCGTGGCATGCGGACGACCGTGGCTACTATTCAGGGCCCCGCGGCCGACGACGACGGCGTGCGCGCGCGAAGAAAAAACGAATGTGTCCCGCATGGTATTATTTGACAGGGATGATGGCCCTGGCAGGTGCGCAACCGTTGTTGCAGAAGTTCGACAAAGTTGCTCGCAAAAACCCGTTTGACAGAAATGTTTAAAAAGTGTTGGGTTTCCTACGAATCCGCAAGAGCGCGCGGGATGAAATTTTGACAATTTGTTTTTTAAAAAACCATTGGTTTTTTGATGTTTTTATGTTAAAATCGCTACGAAAACTAAGGTTTTGGAAGGATTTCGTCTTGCGCGCGCGAATGTCCACTTTACCTTATTTTTTGCAAGGGATTCTTGAAGTTTGGTTATGTTAGAACAAGAAATGTCCACTTTAGCTTATTTTTTGCAAGGGAAAACCGCCCGTAACAAAACAACCGGATCTGGATCACATCGTTTTGCCTGAGACTTCCTCACGAAAATGATGAAAATGTGGCTGCGGCCTAGGCGCGGCGAGGGGGCCGTGCACCAGGGGCCCCAACAATAATTATTCTTTAGAAGCAATAATGTTCAACAACAACAACACCAACACCAACACCAACCACAACAACAACCACAACAACAACACCAACAACAACAACCATAACAGCAACAGCAACAGCAACAACAACAACAATCATTATAAGACTGTTCGCTCTTACTGGAACGCGTGTCTTGTATTCCGCATACCCCAACCCTCGATACCCGCCCACTTCGTCTTCGATCGCATCCCCTTCGGGGAGAATATCTTCCTCATCGGCCACTAACTGAAGTGCGAGGAACTCTCGAGCGAGAGCACCGTTGCTGAGTTCGGGGGCCTCTCTGGCCATGGGCTCTCGGAATACCTGTGGGGCAATACCGAACGGGAACCCTCGTCGCCGTGTCCAGGCCTCTACCAACTTGCCCGAATTACGAGAAAGTCTCGAGCGAGAGCGCCGTTCATGAGTTCGGGGGCCTTTTTGGCCAGGGGCTCTCAAAGTAAATCGTGAGGTAATATCGAGCAGGAGCCCTTGTCGTCGTGGCTGGGCCTCCGCCAACTTGATTGAATTGCGAGAAAGTCTCGAGCGAGAGCGCCGTTCCTGAGTTCGGGGGCCTTTCTGGCTAGGGTATCTCGGGGTGAATTGTGAGGGAGTATCGGGCACGAGTCCTTGTCGTCGTGGCTGGGCCTCCGCCAACTTGATAGAATTGCGAGGAAGTCTCGAGCGAGAGCGCCGTTCCTGAGTTCGGGGGCCTCTCTGGCTAGGGTGTCTCAGGGTAAATTGTGAGGGAATATCGAACGGGAGCCGTTGTTGTCGTAGCTGGGCCTCCAAGGGCCCACATTTAGGCTCAAGCCAACGCTCGAGCGGGAGCCTCGTTTTAGAGAAAATGCAGCCGGCGTCGAGGCGAGAGCGCGCGGAACCGTTTCCGAAGATCAACCATATTTTCAAGAATGAGTTTTCAACGACAACAACAACAACAACAACAAGAAGAAGAAGAAGAAGAAGACGAAGACGAAGACGAAGACGAAGAGGAAGAAGAAAACACAAATAGAGGCTCGCGCGGACTTTTTAGATCGGCGCTGGGGGCGCCGCCAGGGGGGCTCCAGCGCCGATCTTAACAATCGGCGCTGAGGTCCAAACAAAACATGTTTATAGGCCAGGCCCTGGCTGGCCCAGGCTTGCGCCGGCAAAAACCGAACAACCAAATCGAATCGGAATCGAGGGCCTGGCCGGCGAATCGATTCGGATCGTAGGCGGCCATGCACTGTGCCACGCGAGGCGCGGCTCATCTTCTCGCCCTCGCGCCGCCCCCGCCGCGAAGAGCGAGGCGCTGGCTCATCTTGGCGCACGTGCGGACGGCCCGCTTGGCCGACGAAGTCCTGCCACCTCCCCCGTGCTCCTCAGAGAAGCCCCGAGGATGCCGCAGGAAGAGTCCTGAGAGGCCCCCCAGGCGTCCTCCCCCAAAATCCCCCAGGTTCCACATGCCCCGCGACCTCGAGGAAGCGCCCAAGAAGCCTGACGGGGCCTCCAAAGAAGCACGCCGAGAAGCAGAAGGAGGCCTCAAGAGAAGCCACCGGAAAGGCTTGCCCAGTCCCCCCCTTGTGCTGCCCCTCTTCATGAGCCGCCCGATTCTGGCGCACCGCTACCAAAAGCGGGACAAAAGCAAGGGCAACTCCTAAAGCGTATGTCGGCAACGAAATCGATCGCACGGATCACCACCAGCTGAACCCAAGCGCCTCGGCAGGCGTTTCTGTATACGCGGCCAGTCCGCATCGCAGCACGAATCCATGAGGTGGCGGCCCTCGCCCTCCGTTTCGGGCCCGCTCGTTTGATTTTCTCGCTCGGCCCCCATCGAACCCTTTGCGTTGCACGTTGCATCCTATTCTGGAGGACCTTCCTGGCACTCCACTCGCTCGCGAACCCTTTTGTTGCTGCTCCAGCGTTGTCTTTGCTGGCCTGCTTCTTCACAAGCAGGCGAAAATATGTTCCATGTTCCCTCATCCCTCCTCCCCCATGATCGCTGTCGTCCTCGAGCTGTTCAACATCACCACCTGTTGCATGTTTGCCCCACACACACACACACACCGCACGCGGGGGGGCGGGGGCGGCAGGAGGAGGAATAAGAATGCAAGGGAGGATGAAAAGAAAAAGAAAAGAGGAGGAAGAGAAGGATGAGGAGGAGGCGGACGATGACGACGAAGACGATCCTCCTTTGGCACAAGCCTCCCGGATACCACGTCGCTCGCGCCCCACGTGTTTTTGTTGGCGCTCATCGAACCGAAGCCCCAACGTGCCAGCGGCCACAAGAACGGAAAGAAGGACGCGAGGTTGGGGGACAGAGCGAAAAGAATAGTAATCACCTTCGAGTCAAGAAATCGTGTCGGATCGGAATGTACATCGAATCGGGCCGCATCGGCACGGAGCGGGAATCGAATCGAATCGAATTGGCCGCTCCAGAATGTACAACACCGCCATTCGAACATCGGACCCGATCGAATCGTCGAGGTGTCGGCGTCGAGTGGGATCGGTCTAGCCGGGGCTCGTGTCGAATCGGATCGAATGAATCAGGCCCAGGCGTACCAGCGGTCCGGGGAACGGAGAGGAGTAAGGAGTTTGAGGAGCAAGGAGCAGAGAAACGCAGCGCCCCGCCCTACACGGCCACTGGACCGCCAGGACCTCTAGGATCTGTTCCAAAACCTGCTAGCCCGAAGGGGCGAAAGCACCCGAACGCCCTTTGCTGCTTCGGGGGCCACGCCTCCAAGGCGCCGAGCTCCCGCCGGTTGCAGCGGGCCCATCCGCTGGCGCTGCGCGCGGAGGAGCCACGCCACGGCCTGCGCCGAACTCCGCTCGAGCTCGCGTCCAAGCCCGCCTCGTCGACCGCCTGTGAGATGATGCGCGCCCACCTATCGGCGGCGCGCCGAAAGGGGAAACGAAAAGGGGGGCAGGCCTGGAGATTAGCGAGCGCGAACACCAGCATCGGACAACGCGGCCGCCCAAAGCCAGCTCATGGTCACACGTATATTCGCACTCCCGAAGCGAGGCGGGACTGCGCACTCCCGAAGCGAGGCGGGACTGCCTACATCACTTCCGCTTGGGGGGATCGATCCTCGGGGCGCGCCGCCGAACCTCGCCGCCGCTGACTGCAACTCCAGCCGCTCGGCTGCGATGCCGCGACGTGCCCGCCTCCAGCCTTCGCCGCTGTCCGCGGACCCTTCGGGGGACGGGCAGTTCGTGGGCGACCTCGTGGCTTGCGCCCACGGCCAGCTGCTCAAGCGAGGACACCGAAGTCGTCATATGCAGCCGATCCGTCTGCGTGGTCAACAGACCGACGCTGCAATATCTGGACAGCGACATCTTCGGCGTCGCAACCGTCAAGGGCCCGCACGCCTCCAAGAGTACATCCGCAAACTGGCGCGCCCGTCAGCGCCTTGAGGCCAACCTCGTCAGCCCTGCGGCGTTCGCTGCATGCTGCGAGGCCTCTATCCAACTCAAAGGCCCAGCAAACGCCCTCGGGGAGGTGGACGGGTCAACCGCCTGGTCCTCCGGGGGAAAGCCGCACGCATGTCCTCAACCTCTGTTTGGGGGCCCTCTTCCGCCGCTACGACAACCACAAAAAGCAAAAGCACAAATTGTCGGAAGTGCGCGCGGATGTTTCGGATCTGCGCTGGACCCCGTTCCCTGGCGCGCGGAGCGCGCCAGGGGCGGTGACAGAGGCGCCACCCAGGGGCCCGGCGTCGACCCACAAAAACCGCGCAGAACTCCGAAAGTGCATATCTACACCGTGCTTCCTTCTTCGAATGCTGCCGCTCGTGCTGCTCGAGGTCGCGCTGCCGGAAAGCGCCTTGCACCTCTCAGGGGAGCCACTGCGGAGACCGCAAGTCGACCAGCTTCCAGCTCGCCCTGCACGGCGGCGTCGGCCACTGCAGCGGCAGCCTCCGAATCTCCCCGCCGCAAGCCGATCTTTCTAGCTCGGCCTGCACGGTGGCGTCAAGCATCGCAGCGGCAGCACTAACACCCACTTCGTTGCGTAAGATTCCCGCGCTGCTGCTGCTATATGATGCCCCCCGCTCCGCCGCGGCACTCCGCGGCACGGCGGGGGCACCCAAGCGCCCGGCGACGGCGCTCGCGCCGCGGTCGCGGGCCTCCGCGCCCTCTTCCGACCGCCTCCCTGGGGACAACTTGGGCGTGAATGAGTGGAGTGGCGATGAATTCGGGGGGAAGAAAGACGCAGTCCTCGGGCCCTCAAGGCCCCCCAGCTTGGGCCACAAAGAGCCCCCTTCTAGAGGCCCCAAAAGGCTATTGTTCTGCAGCCCTCGCTGTCCCCCGATGGATCGCCCCCCGTTACGCGACGCCCAGGCAGAGGCTGGTCGGCCAACCCGGGGTGGCGGGCACCCTCTGGGCACCAACGGGGCCTCTGGCGGCCCCGCGAGCTTTGCCCGCCGCAGGCGCGAGGCGGCCACGGCCACGCACGCCAGCAGCCCCAGCGGAGCTCTCGACGATGACGACGCGAGGACGACGAGGGAACGCATGTAGGACACACCACGCAAGACGAAGGACCGCACGTAAGACTAGGGAGCGCACGCAGGACGAGGTAACGCACGTAGAACGCGGGAACGCCCGATCATGATGCGAGGAGGACGCGAGGACGACGCAGGACGCATCTTATAACGCGCAAGCAAGGAGTCACGAGCACGCACGGGCAAGAAAACGCGCATGCACGACTGCAACGAGGAGGCGCGGGGACACTGACGAGGAGCTGGGAAGGCGGGCGAGGCAAGAGCTGCCACCTAGGGGAAGCCCATCGGGTTCAGCGCCAAGAATGGCGCCCGTCGGACGAGAGAGGAGGGGGACTGCCCCTCATCGCCCCTCCTCCTTGGGCGCAGCCGAGGAGGAGAGTCAACGATGATCCACCCCAGCTTGAAAGCCACATCCGCGCCAGGCTCGAAAGAACCTGCGGCAGGAAACAGCCCGGTTCGTCGCCTCCTCGCCTCTCCTCGCCCCTCGTCAGCCTCCTCCTCCTCCTCCTCCTCCTCCTCCTCCTCCTCCTCCTCCTCCTCCTCCTCCTCCTCCTCCTCCTCTTCCTCCTCCTCCCCCTCTTTTTCCAGGAGGTGCGCAGGCGCGAGAGGTGCTCAGGCCGCCGCTGGGGCTCGAAAGTCTGCCGGCCTCGCGGAGGCACCAGGCCGCCGCGCCCCGCCGCATGGCCGGCGGGCAGTCGAGGGGCAGCCCGAAGGGACGCGGACGAGGAGGGGGGGGAAGAGGAGGAGGAGGAGGAGGAGGAGGAGGAGGAGGAGGCGGAGGAGGAGGAGGAGGAGGAGGAGGAGGAGGAGGAGGAGGAGGAGGAGGAGGGGAGGGAGGAAGAGGAGGAGGAGGAGGAGGAGGAGGAGGAGGCGGAGGAGGAGGAGGAGAAGGAGGAGGAGGATCGACCGTGCCTGAGGCGCAGCAGGTCCTCCGAGCCTAGCAGTCAGTGGCATGCAAGGCGGAGGCGTGCGCTGCACACAGTCGGGCGTTCGTGAGCTGGCCCCCAAAGGTCTCCAAAATCTGTGGACTTATGAATGAAACATACGGAAAGCAAGGACGCCGAGCCTCATCGCTTCGGAGCGTGAGTGTGGGAATGCCTGGCACAGTAATGCTAATGAATTGGAGTGCCATTAGATTGGAGGAAAAACGAAGAGGAGGAGGATGAGGAGAAGGATGCGGGGGCGCAATAAGGGGGATGAGATGAAGGGGGGTAGGACGGAGAGGAAGAGGAGAGCGGGGCGGAGGACGACGAGGACCACGACGAAAGAGACCCTCCTCTGGCGCAAGCCTCTGGGATATCGCCTCGCTCCTGTCCCGCGTCAGCATGTCGGCGCTCTGAGCGCGCAGCGTGGCCACCTCTTCTCGGGAGCCGCCGCGAGCGGTAGCGAGGGGCAGGAGCCAGCAGGGCGGCCAGAGAGAAATGGGTAAGTTAATGGCAAATGGTGAGGAGGAGGAGGAGCTCCTCACTTCCTCCATGTCATACATGTTGTACAGTCTCGCACGAGCCGTGCCTCTAATGATAATCATCCTCCTTGCGGCCCATGATCATCGACATCGACATGCTCGTATCCATCATCACCGTCAGCATCAGCATCAGCACCATCCTCATCAGTATCGTCATCATCAAAGGCAGCATCATCCTCATCATCAGCAGCAGAATCATCATCATCATCATCATCATCATCATCATCATCATCATCATCATCATCATCATCATCATCGTCATCATCATGAGATCATTATCCAAAGAATCATCATCATCATCATCAGCAGCATCATCAGCATCACCACCACCACCATCATCATCATCATCATCATCATCATCATCATCATCATCATCATCATCATTATCGTCATCATCATCGTCATCATAATCATCAGCAGCAGCATCATCATCAGCATCATCATCATCAGAATCATCAGCATCACCTGTATCATCAGCAGCATCATCATAATCAGCATAATCATCATCAGCAGCATCGTCATAATAATAACAATAAGAATTATAATAATACTAATCATCATCATCATCATCATCATCATCATCATCATCAGCATCATCATCATCATCATCAACATCATCAGCATCAGCATCATCATCATCAGCATCATCATCAAGATCAGCATCAGCATCATTATCAGCATACTCAGCATCTTCATCGTCATCAGTATCACCATCATCATCATCATCATCATCATCATCAGCATCATCATCATCACCATCATCATCATCATCATCAGCATACTCATCATCATCGTCATAATCACCATCATCGTCGTCATCATCATCAGCAACAGCATCATCCGATTCGTCACCATCAGCATCATCATCGTCTCATCATAATCATCAAAAGCAGTACCATCATCATCATCATCATCATCAACATCATCACCATCATCATATTCATCCGCAGAATGAACATCATCATCATCAGCATCACCTGTATCATCAGATTCATCATCATCAGCATCATCAGCATCATCATCGTCATCATGATCAGCATGATCATCAGCATCATAATCAGCATCATCGTCAGCATCATCAGTAGAATCAGCATCATCATCAGCAGCAGCAGCATCATCAGCATCATCAGCATCAGCATCAGAATCAGCGTCAACATCGTCATTATCATCATCATCAGCTTCATGCTCATCATCATCAGCAGCAGCAAACGCATCAGCATGAGCATCGTCATCATCATCAGAATCATCATCAGCAGCAGCATCAACATCAGCATCATCATCGTCACTCCAACCATCATCATCATCATCATCATCAGCAGCAGAATCATCAGCATCAGCATCAGCATGACCATCACCATCAGCATCGGCATCATCATCAGTGTAAGCAGCATAAGTCCGTCATCATCCTCGGCAGCAGCAGCATCATCATCCTCAACATCGTCATCAGCATCAGCATCATCGTCATCCTGATCAGCATCATCACCAGCATCCTCATAAGCGGCATCGTCATCATCATCATCAGCAGCAGCAACAGCAGCAACAGCAAAACCGTCACCGTCATCATCAGCAACAGCAGCAGCAACAACGTCATCATCATCACCATCGTCAGTCCCAACAGCAGCAACATCATCATCATCAGTATAAGCATCAGCATCATCATCATCATCATCATCATCAGCATCATCATCGTCACCACCACCACCACCGGTAGCGTCATCCACATCATGACAATCGTCATCATCAGTATCATCAGCACTAGCAGCAGCATCAGCATCGTCGCCGTCATCATCAGCAGCAGCAACAGTATCGTCAACATCATCGCCATCAGCATCAGCATAATAATCGTCAGCAGCATTAGCAGCGTTGTTGTCCTCGTCGCCATCGTCGTGGACATCAAGGCCATCACCACCAACCTCAGCAGTATCATCCACCATCCGACTACTCGCTCACAATCGTCGTCACCATCATCACCACCATCATCTCTGTTTCGCCATTATCATCACCACCATCACAAACATCACCAGCACCATCACCATCACGATACTCATCATCGTTTCCATCGCCAACATCACGTGCTGGGGCATGCCCTCGGCAGCGATTGGGTGTCGTCCTCCATGATCCCTCCTCCCTCATCCCTCTCCTCCTCCGTCACCCCTGCCTCTCATCCCGCATCCTCCCTCTCCTCCCTCCTCCTCCTGCTTTTCCCCCTCCTCCTCCTCCTCCTCCTCCTCCTCCTCCTCCTCCTCCTCCTCCTCCCCGCCTCCATCCTCACCCCCGTCCATCCACCTCCTCTCTCCTTCCTCCCCCTCCTCCCCCCCCCCTCTCCTCATCCTCCTCCTCCTCCTCCCCCTCCTCCTCCTCCTCCCCCTCCTCCTCCTCCTCCCTCCCTCCCTCCCTCCCTCCCTCCCTCCCTCCCTCCCCGTCCGCCTTCCCTCCCTCCCTCCCTCCCTCCATCCATCAATTCATCCTCCCACCTCACGCCTGTCCCCTCTGTCATCCCTCCTCCCTCCTCCTCCTCCACCCTCCCATTTACTCCTCCTGTTTTCTCCTCCTCCCCCTCCTCCTCCTCCTCCTCCGCCTCCTCCCTTCTCCTCCTCATCCTCCTTTTCCTCCTCATCATCATCCTCCTCATCCCCTCATTCACACACACATGCAGAACCCATGGTACCGAACGGCCGAGCCTAGAATTAGGTGACTCTCATAAACTGAAACTTGGCCCAAGGATCCTGGAGAGAAGAGCGAAGAGAAAGAGGGAAGCCAGAGAAGAGGAAATGATACACTGGAGGAAAGAAGAAAAGAAAAAGGAAATGCGCAACCCAGCTCCTGCCGCTGCGTGATGCCACAAGGCGGAGGAGTGGAAGGGAGGCGGCCTCGTGCGACAAACGGGAGGCGAAGCTGGAGCCCGACCTCGTCACGCCAGGCTCTTTCGCTACTCTGAACGAAGAGAAGGCAAAGTTGGAGCCGGATGTCCTCAGCTACAACCTGGAAATAGACGCTCGTGCGAGAAGGCAGGCAATGGCAGCAGCTGCAGCGATGCGATGAGCCGGTGCGCGAAGGGCGCAGGCGTGCACAGCAGGCTTGCGAGAAGCTGGGCCCTTCGAGGCCACGTGAGCAAAGCCGAACCTTGTCGCCCAGGGACGGCCTGGGATAGGGGAAGCTTTTTTCGCCGCCACTCGGCATGTCTCGCAGACTCGGAGATCAGGCCAGTAGAATGCGGTAGAATCCTCCTCCTCCTCCTCCTCCTCCTCCTCATCATCATCATCATCATCATCCTCCTCCTCCTCCTCCTCCTCCTCCTCCTCCTCCTCCTCCTCCTCCTCAGCAGCAGCAGCAGCAGCAGCAGCAGCAGCAGCAGCATCATCATCATCATCATCATCATCATCATCATCAGAATCATCATCATCCTCATCATCATCATCATCATCATCATCATCATCATCTTCATCATCAGCATCAGCATCAGCATCAGCATCATCATCATCATCATCATCATCATTCTCCCGTTTTTCCTCATCTGCCTCCTCCTCCTCCACCACCTCCTCCTCCTCCTCATCCTCCTCCTCGTCATCCTCCTCCTCCTCCAACTCCAACTCCTTCTCCTCCTCCTCCTCCTCCTCCTCCTCCTGCTCCTCCTCCACCTCCTCCTCCTTCTCCTCCCCATCATAATTGCTCCCCCCTGATACTCATCCCTTTCTCCCCCCGCATCCCCCTCCTACCCCTCCCCCGCGTCCCTCTGGGCTGCCCCTCGACTGCCCGCCAGCCAGGCGGCGGGAGCGGCGGCCTGGTGCCTCAACGAGGCCGGCAGGCCGTCGAGTGCCAGCAGCGGCTTGAGCACCTCCCACGCCTGGGCACCTCCAGGGGAGGTCCCCTCCTCCTCCTCCTCCTCCTCCTCCTCCTCCTCGTCCTCCTCCTCATTATTAGTTTCTCTTTTTCTTATGAACATTAGTATTATTAGCAGTATTATTACTACAAATGTTACTCGAATGTTTTCTCATGTTGATTCGCAGTATTCTCTTCATTGCTCTGATTAATACTATTATTAGGAGTTATATTCTTCGCATCCTTAATACTATGATGACTAGTGTTATTATACATGTTGTTTTTAGCATTCGTAGTATAAGTATTCTCCTTAGTTCTCGTAATATGATTATTATGATGTTCATGTGTCTTCTTCGTCGTACTATAAATATACGTACTCGTCTTATTCATAGTACTGGTCTTATTAGTAGTGGTAATATTCGTGCTTTACTCTCTAGTTGATCGTATTCTAAATATGAACATTATTGTCCGCATTATGTGTTAGTCTTAGAAGCCGCGTTCGCATTATTATTCGCAGTATTCGTACCAGTAATAATATCAGTGTCAGCGTTATGATTGGCGAGTTTAAGATTCAGCAGCATTATTGGTAACCATAGTAAAAGAATAGTAATACTAGATGTTGTGTGTTACTGTTACGGTTAATATGATGATGCGTTTCTTCTTCATCGCACTATTCGTATAAGTAGACGTTGTTCTCTTCTTCGTGGTATGAGTAGTGACAATAGCAGCAGTAGTAGTAGTAGTAGCATACGCAATATTATGTATAGTATGAGTATTCTGGTTATTCACAATACTCTGAATTCATTACTACTACAAAGAATTCATATGCTCAGTTTCCCTATTAATACCCTTAAGAAGATTAGGCCTCGTCTTCTTACTAGTATGGTCAACCATATGATTATCAATACGATTATTATCCGTATTAGTATGTTTGTTAGTATTGTTATTATTGGTGGCACTATTATTATCTATATGCGTATTCTTCTTCCTCCTCCTGCTGATCCACCTCCTCCTCCTCATCATCATCAGCAGCAGCAGCAGAAACAGAAACAGCATCCGCACCATCCTCCTCCTCCTCCTCTTCCTCCTGCTTTTTCATCATCCTCCTCCTCATCATCAGCAGCAGCATGATCGTTAACATCGCCATCATTAGCATCATCATAATCATCCTCATCATCATCGTCCTCATCACCGTCATCATCACAATCATCCAAATCGTACTCCTCGGCATCATCACCATCATCATCATCGTCAGGATCGTCATCATCGTCATCATCAGCAGCAGCATCATCCTACTCATAACCATACTCATAATCATAGTCGTCATCATCATCAGCATCGTCATCATCAACATCCGAATCATCATCGTCATCAACATGATCAAAACCATCAGCATCATCATCAGCATGATCAGCAGCAGCATCCCCATCAGCAGCAGCAGCAGCATCATCGTACCTAGGTTGCATCAGGCTTTCCGTACTTCAGGTAACGACACATCAAAGCCTGGATCATTGGTGGCGGGGTTCGCTGGGGCAGCTGCAGCCGCCGCCGCCATTGTTGCTCTGAGCCCGTGGGGCGAACCACGGACTCCGCTACCATGGTAATATGGCAGGATCCTGTTATACGAGAAGGCAAACGATCTTCGGACTAAACACCAATGGTATTCGACAAACATGGTAACAGTCCAAAGAATCTTGGACAAACTGAACTACCTTCCCCTGGTGGCACTGCTAATCCATTCGTCGGATTACAATAACACGCACAATTGTTCTCCTCCTCCTCCTCCTCCTCCTCTTTCTCCTCTTCCTCCTCGTCATCCTCCTACTCCTCCTCCTCATCCTCCTCCTCCCCCTCCTCATCCTCATCCTCATCCTCCTCCTCCTGCTCCTCCTCAACCTCATCATCATCCCCCGCCTCCTGCTCCTCCTCCGCCTCCTCCTGTTCCTCCTCGTCATCCTCCTCCTCCTCCACCTCCCGACGACAACAGCAACGACGACGACGACGACGACGACAGCGACGACGACGAACCACGAGAAACGACGGTGAAGCACGGCCAGGATTTCGAGGGAACCCAGCCGTGGAGACGAGAGCTCCGCCGGGAGACCCAGCAACGCCCGAAGACCTCGCTTTTTTCCGATGCCCGAACTTGCCAGCCTCGATCCTCGAACCTCTAGCAGAACGAAAAATGACATACACATAAAAACTCGGAGGTCCGCGCGGATTTCTTGGATAGGCGCTGGGGCCCCCTGGCGGGCGCCTCCGGCGCCGCCCCTGGCGCGCTCCGCGCGCCAGAGGGGGGGGGTACAGCGCCGATCCGAGAAATCCGCGCGGACCTCCGAATTTGTGTCATTCTTCGTTCCCCTCACCTCGACCCTCGATCCTCGCACGTGCCCGCTGGGCTCTCCCCCGATCAGCCCCGCCAGGGTTTGGAAACGACGGGGGATCTGAACTGGGACCCCGGAGACTCGGTCAGGAGGGAGGATGGGGCCAAAGCCGCTCAAAATCCGTTCCGAAGCCCCTCCCGGGATCCATCTGGTGCACGTTTTCGGCCCAGATCCGTACCTCCCTGTCCCGGGGCCCGCAAGCGGCCCTCGAAGACCGAAAAAAATCGAGAACACCTGTCCGAACCCAGCGCCTCGGACCTCGCACCCCCATGTCTGCTGGCCGGAACCCCGTGCTTGCGGGCCCCAGGAATGTACTCCACCGCCACGTCGATTCCTCCTCACCCATCCGCCCTCATCTTCCTCTACTCTTTCCTGGGAGTGGGAGGGGATGAGGGAAGTGGTGGTAGTGTATACCTTTGGGCCCTGTTGTGCTGGGCCACCTCAGACCCTCCGCCGACTCCCAACGCGGAAGAGCGCCTGGCGTCGAGCCCACCGCGCCGCTCTGCATGTCCACGATCTCCGTCAGCATGAGCGAGGGCATCGTGAACTTGGGCGGCGCTGGTGGCTCCGCCTGAGCGTCGCAGGGGAGGAGGAGGAGGAAGCGAGGGAGGGAGGAAGGGGGGGAGGGAGGGAGGGAGGGAGGGAGGGGGGGAGGGAGGGGGGGAGGACAAGCTAGGTGCGCTCGCGTCATATCTGACATCCTACCCCTCCCTCCCATCCCTTACCATGGCGTAGATCCCCTCTCTACTCGCACAGTCGGATGTCGAGCAGGGCAATGATCCCGAAAGGGTACGCGATGCATTGTAGAGCACGGCATGGCATGGCGTAGAAGAGCACCGCAAAGCGTAGTATGTCACAGCATGGCGTGGCGTGGCGTAGTGAAGAATTGCATCACAAAGCTTTGCAACGCAAAGCATGGCATCGCACAGCGGCCCCGAACATAACATTGCATAGCATGGCGTTGAAGATCAAAGCGTAGCATGGCATAGCACGACGTGGCACTTAAGCACTGCATATCACAGCTTCAGCTGAAGGCATGGCATCGCGCAGCGGAACGCAACCTAGCATTGCATTGCATGCCGTGGCATGGCACGGGAAATGACGCCAGCGCTGCAGCGGGAGCACGATTCGAAACGAGCGGAAGCGCGGAAATGAGGCCAGCGCTGCAGCGGGAGCACGATTCGGAACGAGCGGAAGCACGGAAATGAGGCCAGCGCTGCAGCGGGAGCACGATTCGGAACGAGCGGGGCCCGAAAATGAGGCCGGCGCCTCAGCGAGAGCAGCATTTTGAAAAAAATGCAGGCGAAAACCCAACTCCGGGGAATCCTGCGTGTAAAAAACAGTACGCGGGGGGGGGGGGGGGGGCGAACACTCCCAACCCGTCATCAGGGGAAGGAGGAGAGTAGTATTCGTGTTGAGTAATTGTGGAGGAGGAGGAGGAGGAGGCGGAAGAGGAGGAGGAGGATGGGGTTCCAAATCCACGGATCGGGGAAGATCCCTCCCGAAGCATGCCGCCAGTGCGGCCTGACTCGGCGACGGTGCGCGCCACTTCTGCGCGCAATCGGAACCCGTCGCTAAGCCACACACCTGAGTCCATGCTTGCGTTTCGAGGACAAACCATCGGCCGTCGGGCGTCGTGCATCGGGCGTCAGTCGACATCGTCGTCGTCGTCAGTCCTCGTCGTCGTCAGTCGTCGTCGTCGTCAGTCGTCAGTCGTCGTCGTCAGTCCTCGTTGTCGTCGTCCTCGTCGTCAGTCGTCATTCGTTGTCGTCAGTCCCCGTCGTCGTCGTCGTTGTCGTCGTCCTCGTCGTCGTCAGTCGTCAGTCGTCGTCGTCAGTCCTCGTCGTCGTCGTCGTTGTCGTCGTCGTCGTACTCGTCGTCAGTCGTCGTCGTCAGTCGTCGACGTCGTCGTACTCGTCGTCAGTCGTCGTCGTCGTCGTCGTCGTCGTCGTCGTCGTCGTCGTCGTCGTCGTCGTGGCCGTCGTCGTCGTCGTCAGTCGTCAGTCGTCAGTCGTCGTCGTCAGTCCTCGTCCTCGTCGTCGTCGTCGTCCTCGTCGTCAGTCGTCGTCGTCGTCGTCGTCGTTGTCGTCGTCAGTCGTCAATCGTCGTCGTCGTCCTCCTCCTCCTCCTCGTCCTCGTCGTCGTCGTCTTCTTCCTCCACCTCCACTTCCTCCTCCTCCTGCTCCTCCTCCTCCTCCGACACCACCTCCACCACCAGGGACCACCAGCGGGAGGGCCCGGTGGGGTCTCCCTGGTGGCGTGGTTTCCCCCTCTCGCTCGAGGCACTCCGTGTCCCCAGTTCGGGGAGGCATCGAGGACCTCCTCGCTGGAGGTGGCCCCCCTGTGGTGATGGTGGTAGCCTTGCGCTGCGGGTCCGCCATCGAACAGAAGAACGTCGAGTGAACCAAAAGGCGCTGCAAAAACTGCAACGAGCGCCCCGAGGTCGCCGTTGACGACGTGCGCCGGAACATACAGGCGCAACTCGGGACCCCTTGAGACCACTCACGGTATCCCCCAGCGTTCACTGCAGTTCAACTGGCGGGAGCGCTCAAGCTAGCAGCACATGGCCATCAACCCTGGGGAAAGCGCGAGCCGTCAAGGATCCTGAAAAAGGCTCCCGCACGAGCTTGAGATGGAAAATAGATGGTAGTGCAGAAGAGCAAAAGAGAGAGGTGGTAACCGAGGGGAGCGTACAAGATACATGACATAGTGGAAGGTTGAATGGAAAAAGGAATGGCACATTAGAGAAATCATGAAAAAATGAGAAACTGTCACAGGGAAGAAAAGAAATCGAAGAGAGAAGATAAGGGAATCGAGTGAAGACAAAAGATGGCCCCTGGAAGAGAAAAGAGAGGGCAGAGAGAAGAGAGAACAGATGAGAACGAAGACGAGGGAAGACAGAAGATGCCAGAAGACAGGGGAGGGAAAGCTGAAGAGATAAGAGGCGACATAAGAAAAACTATCAGAAGCATGGAAAAAGACGAAAATAGATGAGACGGAATAGAACGAAGATAAAACATATAACACACCATAGAGAAGCGAGGACACAGGAGAGAGAAGAGATGACCGAGGAGAGAGGAGAGGGAAGAGGGAATACAGCGAATAGATGCAGCTGCGATAAAATCGACCGAGGCCCAAAAGGACGCCTCAAAAGTCCATGCAGGCCGCTCATGAGGAGCCCGAGTAGAGGAACGTCAGCAAATCACGACGCGCATCGCCGATGCATCGGCGATGCACCGGCGACGTTCTGCATCGAGATATTCGGACGCCAGCTCCGCGCCGCACCGCGGCACCAGCGATGTGCAGGCGATGTCGGGTGGAGTCAACCTCGGCGCCAGCTCGCGCCGAACCCTACCCCCACGGGGGCAAGCCTTGGGCGCGTCCTCGGGGCACAGCGCAGACGTCCACCTCGGGCTCCCGTGGCGCCCCAGCCGCCCCGACTCCCCCTCCTCTGGGAGGCGCTCGAAGTAGACACCCGGTCCCATGGTCGGCCTGGAACCTCGGTGTACAGACGCCCCCGCTTCCCAGGCTAGCGACGCTGGAGCGCCTGCACGCTGGATCACTGCGCCGACGTACATGCCTCCATGCCGACCAAGCGACGTGGTGCATACATCGAGCCCCTCCGACTGCATATCCTCCTCGTCCTCCTCCTCCTCCTCCTCCTCCTCTTCTTCCTCCCCCTCCTCCTCCTTCTCCTCCTCCTCCTCTTCCATTCCTTCTTCTTATGGATAACTTCTCCCTGTCGCACCCCGAGGCCAGTTTCTAGGGCGGGTTGGGCGTTTCGCCTGAGCCTTTCTCACCATTTATGACTCTGAAGCTTAAAAAGTAACAACAGTTTCACACATGGAGGGCGGGTCGTTTTCAAATGTGGCTCTCGCCTTAGCACCGCGCACATTCGTTTTCAAAAATTTGCAAGAGCTTCACGGATTTAGGGCGGGTCGTTTTCGAAATGTGGCTCTCGCTTTAGCGCCGCGCACATTTGTTTCGAAAAAATGCAAAAGTTTCACACCTGGAGGGCGGGTCGTTTTCCAAATGTGGCTCTCGCCTTAGCGCCGCGCACATCTCGCCTTAGCGCGGCGCACATTCGTTCAAAAATGTCCAAGAGTTTGACGGATTGGGGGCGGGTCGTTTTCGAAATGTGGCTCTCGCCTTAGCGCCGCGCGCATTCGTTTACAAAATGTGCCAGAGCTTCACGGATTGAGGGCGGGTCGTGTTTGAAATGTGGCTCTCGCCGTAGCGCCGCGCACATTCCTTGAAAAAAATTGCAAGAGCTTCACGGATTGAGGACGGGTCGCTTTCGAAATGTGGCTCTCGCCTTAGCGCCGCGCACATTATCTTCAAAACTCTGCGAAAGTTGAACGGATTCCTATGATCAACGTACCAGAATTGCATTATGCGGGCGCAACAGTTGTGTTGATTCGCAGTGGTGAAGTCCCAAGAATGGCATTCTGGCACTATTCCGGATCGACAAGACGCAGCAGTCAGGGTGATACGTGGCGTTGAAATCCCAAGAACAATGTTTTAGCACGCTTCAGGATATTGAAACGGTTGTCTTCCAACGAGGCAGTTCCCTCAATGGAAATGAACCGTTAGGGGCCTATGAAGAGGGAGCTTGGAGGGAGGGTTAATTCCAACATCGTTGATGACTCTTGGGTTTACACTGGTCTTCCTCCTCCCCCTCCTCCAGATCAAGTGCCGCCAGGGTTGGAAACGGCAGGCGACGACTCGCACTGCGGCCTCTCACATATCGAACGGATTCTCTCGACGTGGGGAGCACGCGGCCTCTGAAAAGCAAATACACGCCGCGCTGCCTGAGCACGGACTCGGGAAGGAGGAAGGAGGAAGGAGGAAGGAGGAAGGGAGGAGGGAACAATTTTCAACGCTCGCAGATTCACCCCTGGTCGAGCCAGGGCTCGCCCCCTTCCCCACGCCCCCGACAGAAAGTGGGCCAGCAAGGGCCAGGGCCGGGGCGCTGCCCCGAGGACGCTCGGTGGAGCTGCGCGCGGGACCCACCGCCTCCCGAGGAGGCCTCCCGGACGGCGTCGAAGCACGTGGGGTCGGAGCATCGCGCCGCCTCGGCGATGCATCGGCGACACACCGCGACATCGGCGATACGTCGGCGCCATCGGCGTGGAGAAAGTCGGGCTCCGCATCGAACCGCATCGGCGACGCATCGGCGATGCGGCAGGCCCCCCCCCCCCGACCCCGTCTGGGAGGCCTGGGCTCCCCCCCTGGACCCGCGAAGGCCCCGGTGCGGTGCCTCCGACTGCCGTGGACCCTCCCCGCAGCCACCAGCCCAGACCCCCAGCGTCGCGACGTTTGCTCACGGCGTGCACCCCAGGAGCTCTGGGCCATGGCTGCCTCTTCGTCCTCAGTCGTCCTCTGGCTGTCCCGGAGTCCAACGAAGGCCCTCAGAGGCCGAAGCTTGCCAACAAACATGCGCCGCGATCTTCTTGCCTACGACGCGAGGCGGTCTGGGAAACAGGGTACTGAACCTTCCCTGACATCCAGACATCGGGAAATAACCACGGCGGGCGTTTTTGCCCTGACTCACCCTCACGGATTGGTCGAGCCCGAGACAACCCGCACGAAGATGATGCGGGGGGTCTGGTCTTGAGTTTCAAGACACTGCGATTGGTTCTCGACGTCAGATGTCTGAGGTGATCCTTGACCAATGATCGTTGGCTTTGCTCCGCCACCTTCGCCGCCCATCCTTTCCTCCATCCGCCTCCTGCCTCCTCATCATTACACTGCGTCCTCCTCCTTCTTGACCCTCCTTTCTCTTCGTTTTCCATGCGGGGGGGAGAAGGATGCGGGAAACGTACACCCTCCTCCTCCTCCTCCTCCTTCTCCGAAACGTGTTCCTTGTTATCGCATACTCTCACTCTGCCACAAGACCGCCGATTGCTGGCCAATCCAGGACCGCCCATCCGACCAGGAAATCTGCATTCCCGCTTTCGATCATGAACATCATGTCGCCCATGTTGCATACTGCGTGGGAGGAATGGGACGAGACGCACATCCCGCGCGAAAAGACCGCAATGTAGTTTTCGCCTCGGCGCCGTGCTCATTTCTCGAGGGGATCGAGTTCCCGCTGAGGCGCGGCGCGTATGTGTCGCACGCAGCTTCGTCGACGCGCGAGCGGGCGGAAATGGCGCTCCCGCCTCGGCGCAGCGCGTACTCCTCACTCTCCCTGTTGGGGGGGGCCCGCGCGAGCGGGCGACTTGCCGCCCTCGCCCAGGGCTCCGTGCGCATCCCGCTCGGGCGCGGCGTTCCTGCGCGGGCGCGATGCATGGCCTGCTCGCGGAATCGCACGAAAGCGACAGCCGCAACGGGGCCGCGCTAGAGCGAGCGAAATGACGACCTCGCCCCAGTGCCGCGCAGCTTGAGAGTGAAAGTGGCAGTGCTGTGTGAGCGCGGCGTATGCTTCGTCTGGGCCGCGCCTGTCGGAAGGTTTACCGCTCCCGTCCCTGCGCGACCCGCGCACTGTTCCCTTCGCCAAATCGTCGGCAGCGGAGCCGTGCGTGAGCGCCTTCCGTTTGCGGTGGAAACGCGTCACAATCCCAACATCGAACTGTGCCTCAATTGATTACTGCGGTGTGGGAGGAAGGGCAGGAATAGGCGGGGCCCCACGACTCGCTTGATGACGCCTGCTCCTACTCGTCCTCCTCCTCCTCCTCCTCCTCCTCCTCCTCCTCCTCCTCCTCCCCCTCCTCCTCCTCCTCCTCCTCCTCTTCCTCCTCCTCCCGCCCTGATTCTGCCGTATCATCCTGTGTTCTCAACGTCCTCATCCTCCCTCCCTCGCCTCCCCGCCGGCGCACATTGAGAGGTCGAGGCACAGGATCAGGGCTGCCCTGAGCTCGCACCCGGCGAGCTCGCCGTGGTCGGAGTGGCCGAAGCACACGCCTGGGTGGCAGGAAGAGATGAGGAGGCAGGGGTGGAGAAGAGGAGGAGGGGAAGGGGGAGGGGGAGGGGGAGGGGGAGGAGGAAAGGGGGGGGATCAGAAAGAAGATGGGCGAGTCAATGGAGGGGCGGCGGAGGGAAGACGAAGTGACACACGTCGCGTGTCTCGCTCGCGCTCCTGACGCACCACGCGCCACGCTCGCGGCACTTCACGCCCTCGGTGTCATGTACCCCCCTGGACGCCGCCCCGCCCCCAGCCCACCCCCATCCCACAGGCGCCCAACCGGGCGCGCGCGGTGGTAAGTGCGTGCGGCAGCGCACCTGCACACGGTGCGTGCACGCGCCACGCTCACGTCCACAGCTCTTTGGTGACATGCGCGCTGCGTCGGCATTTCCCGTGGGGACGCGCAGAGGACCCCGCATCCTGGACGCAGTCATGCGGAAACCTGCGCGGGGGCACCGCGGCTTCTAGTCGCCCGCGGAAGGCCCCAGAGGGAGAAGCCAGCACCTGAAGTAGAAGGAAAAGCAGCATATAAACATAAACTTTGGGCGCGACACGCGGGTCTCGGCCTCGGCCACGGCGTCGTCCTCGTCCTCCTCCTCGTCGTCGTCGGCGTCGTCCTCGTCGTCGTCGTCGGCCTCGGCCTCGGCCTCGGCCACGGCGTCGTGTTCGTCCTCGTCCTCGTCGTCGTCGTCGGCCTCGGCCTCGGCCTCGGCCTCGGCGTCGTCCTCGTCCTCGTCCTCGACGTCGTCGTCGTCGTCGTCGGCCTCGGTCTCGGCTTCGGCGTCGTCCTCGTCCTCGTCCTCGTCGTCGTCGTCGTCGTCGGCCTCGGCCTCGGCCTCGGCGTCGTCGTCGTCCTCGTCGTCGTCGCCGTCGCCGTCGTTGTCGTCGTCGCCGGCCTCGGCCTCGGCCTCGGCCACGGCGTCGTAGTCGTCGTCGTCCTCGTCGTCGTCGGCGTCGTCCTCGTCGTAATCGTCGTCGGCCTCGGCCTCGGCCTCGGCGTCGTGGTCGTCCTCGTCCTCGTCGTCGTCGTCGGCCTCGGCTTCGGCCGCGGCGTCGTCCTCGTCCTCGTCCTCGTCGTCGTCGGCGTTGTCGTCGTCGGCCTCGGCCTCGGCCTCGGCCTCGTCCTCGTCATCGTCCTCGTCGTCGTTGTCGTAGTCGTCGTCGCCGTCGTCGACGTCGGCGTCGTCGGCCTCGGCCTCGGCCTCGGCGTCGTCCTCGTCCTCGTCCTCGTCGTCGTCGCCGTCGTCGTCGTTGTCGGCCTCGGCCTCGGCCTCGGCCTCGGCCACGGAGTCGTGGTCGTCCTCGTCCTCGTCCTCGTCGTCGTCGTCGGCCTCGGCCTCGGCCTCGGCCTCGGCGTCGTCGTCGTCGTGGTCGTCGTCGTCGTCGGCCTGTCCTCGTCCTCGTCCTCGTCGTCGTCGTCGGCCTCGGTCTCGGCCTGGGCGGCATCCTCGTCCTCGTCGTCGTCGTCGTCGTCGTGGTCGTCGTCGTCGGCCTCGGCCTCGGCCTCGGCGTCGTCGTCGTCCTCGTCGTCGTCGCCGTCGCCGTCGTCGTCGTCGTCGGCCTCGGCCTCGGCCTCGGCCACGGCGTCGTGGTCGTCGTCGTCCTCGTCGTCGTCGGCGTCGTCCTCGTCGTCGTCGTCGGCCTCGGCCTCGGCCTCGGCGTGGTGGTCGTCCTCGTCCTCGTCGTCGTCGTCGTCATCGACGTTGTCGTCCTCGGCCTCGTTCGGCGTCGACGTCGGCCTCGGCGTCGTCGTCGTCGTCGTCCTCGTCTTCGTCGTCGGCCTCGTCGTCGCCGTCATCGCCGTCGTCGTCGTCGTCGTCCGTCGCCGCCGCCGTCGTCGTCGTCGTCGTCGTCGGCGCCGGGCGGCGGCGGCGCTGGCCGCGGGCGGCGTTGGCCGGCGGGGGCCTTCGCACATGGCGCTCGTGCGGGGGTGGCCCGCGCCGCCCACGAGGGCCGCGTCGATGCGCCTGAGGCGCGCGGGCGCGCCGGGAGCAGCTGCCGCGAAGTCATGGACGGGCGATATCAATGGGGGTCTCCTCCTCCTCCTCCTCCTGGTCGTCCTCCTCCTGCTCCTCGTCCTCCTCCTCCTCCTCCTCCTCCTCCTCCTCCTCCTCCTCCTCCTCACCCTCCTCCTCCTCATCATAGGGGAACGAACAATGACATAAACATAACAACTCGGCGGTCCGCGCAGACTTCTCGGATCGACGCTGGGGCCCCCTGGCGCGCTCCGCGCGCCAGGAAGGGGGTCCAGCGCCGATCCGAGAAATCCGCGCGGACCTCCGAGTTTTCATGTTTATATTGTTCGTTCCCCTATTCTTGGGCGCGAAGTCATGAACGGGCCATATCTATTGGGGAGGGGCAGCGAGGGCTGCCGAGAAGGGGCCTTTCAGGGTCCCCAATGGAGCCCGTTGTGGGGCCCCCGAAGGGGACCTTTCGGGGCCCACCCGGAAAAGGCACCTTTCCTCCCCCTCCCCCCTCCCCCCAAATCTATCGCCGCCCAAATCATTCGCGCCCAAAGCAACTCGTCGCCAAGACGGCCCAAGGATGGCCAAAGAGGCTGCCCAGGTGGCCCCCAAGAGGGTCCGAGAGGGTCCCGGGTAGCCTTCAAGACGCTCCCCCCCTCCAGCCGCTCCTCGCCAGCCCGTACATCCAGTCCTGATTATTGGAAATGACCCCATAAACCGAGATTCGACCATCATCATCATCATCATCATCATCATCATCATCATCATCATCATCATCATCATCATCATCATCATCATCATCATCATCATCATCATCATCATCATCATCATCATCATCATCATCATCATCATCATCATCATCATCATCATCATCATCATCATCATCATCATCATCATCATCATCATCATCATCAGCATCAGCATCATCATCATCATCATCATCCTCCTCGTCGTCGTCGTCGTCGTCGTCGTCATCATCATCATCATCATCATCATCATCATCATCATCATCATCATCATCATCATCATCATCATCATCATCATCATCATCGTCGTCATCGTCATCGTCATCATCATCACCATCACCATCATCATCATCATCATCATCATCATCATCATCATCATCGTCATCATCATCAGCAGCAGCAGCGCAGCATCATCATCATCAGCAACATCATCAGCATCATCATCAGCAGCATCATCCTAATCATCATCATCAGCAGCATCAGCATCATCATCATCATCATCATCATCATCAGCATCATCATCGTCATGGTCGTCGTCATCATCATCAACAGCAGCATCATCAGCGTCAGCATCAGCATCAGCAGCATCATCATCAGCATCATCATCAGGATCGTCATCATCATCATCATCATCACGAACATCATCATCATCATCATCATCATCATCATCATCATCATCATCGTCGTCACCCTCACCACCACCACCACCACAACCATCGTCATCATCAGCATCATCATCATCAGCATCATCAGAATCATCACCATCATCATCATCATCATCATCATCATCATCATCATCACCATCACCATCATCAGCATCAGCATCAGCATCGTCATCATCATCAGCAGCATTATCATCATCATCATCATCGTCATCATCATCCGCCTCGTCCTCTCTCGCATCAACTGTCTCTCACAATCCTCATCATCATCACCACCACGACCATCGTCAACATTACCATCAGCATTATCGTCATCATTATCACCATCATCATCAGCAGCAGCATCCGCATCATCATCAGCATTATCAGCAGCATCATAATCAGCATCATCAACAGCAGCATCAGCATTATCATCATCGTCATCATCAGCATCATCAGCAGCAACAGCATCATCAGCAGCATCACAATCATCGATCATGACCGATCATCATCAGCATCCTCAGCATCAGCATCATCAACATCAGCATCATCATCCGCAGCATCATCAGCAACATCATCAGCATCATCATCGTCATCAGCATCATCATCACCGATCCGCATCATCGTCGTGTTCGTCATCTGCACCATCAGCAGCAGCAGCAAAATCATCATCATCAGCATAATCCTCACCACCTTCAGTATTGTCAACATCAGCATCAGCATCAGCATCAGCATCACGAGCATCGTCATCATCGTCATCGCCGTCATCATTATCATTATCATCGTCCTCATCATCATCATCATCATCATCATCATCATCATCATCATCATCATCATCAGCATCAGTGTCGTCACAGCCATCATCAACATCAGCATCAGCGACATCGTCATCATCATCATCAGCTGCAGCATCATCATGATCATCGTCGCCATCATCGGCATCATGGCCATCATCAGCATCATCATCATCATCATCATCATCATCATCATCATCATCATCATCGTCATCATCATCAGCAACATCATCGCGATCATCGTTGTCATCGTCGCCATCGTCATCATCATCATCATCAGCAGCATCATCAGCATCATCAGCATCATCATCATCAGCATCAGCATCATCATCATCATCATCATCAGCATCATCATCATGAGCATCATCATCATCATAAGCATAAGCATAAGCATCATCAGCATCAGCAGCAGCATCATGGCAGGCCTCGCAGCCTCCTTCAAGTCCCGCAGGGTCTGCTGTCGGCTCTCCCACTCCTCGTCGGGGCGTGCCCTCTCTGCCTGGTCGCCAAGGGGAGCGGGGCAGAGCAAAATGCGACGGATACCGCAGTGGGGGTCAAGACCACGAGATGTAAGGAGACAGGGAGAGCGGCAGGGGGAACCCAGCAAGCGGATGGTCGAGCGAGAGACTGCAGCGCAGCCAGAAGAAGAGGAGAATCCTCCTCTCCAATTCGCTCGCACTGCCCAAGATTTGCAAGACATCCGAAGACGACCGAAGGACAGAACAGCGACCCTCCGAAGGACCCAAGATGTTCCAAAAATAAATCCCAAGATGTCCCAAGGAGCCCCCAAGAGGAGCCCAGGGAGGCCTCATGCGAGACCAGGGGAGGGACCGAACAAGTAAAAAACCTGATGCCTGTGAGCATTCGATTCCCTGCGCACAGCGTTTCCGTCAGGGTCCCACATGCTGCTTCTGAGGCTGGGTGGATCGGTGGCTCGGTGGCCCTCCCGTATGGTATCCCGTGGGTCCTGCATGGTCTCCCGTATGGTTTCCCACGTGGTGTAGAGCATGGTCCCCCGTACAGTGGATGCGAGTCCACAAGAAACCTTCCACAAGAAACCCAACCCCGAGACCGCAGGACGTCAATCGATGTGTGGCATGGGAACGTCACGCTGCCCATGGCAAAAACATCGAAACCCAACAAACCCAAGGCACCCTGGAGGCGAGCAGGGTGTTTCTTGGCATGGGCCCCCACTGTATGTCAGTACGCCCCAGAGCACTCTCGGCACGACTCTTCATTGTCTGCAACACTCTCAAACGTGATTTCTCCAGTACCGTGTAGGGCCTTCTGCCGCCAGATCGGGCCAGGAAAGCGCCAAAGAGAGCCCTTAGAACACTCCCCAGACGGCCCAAGACGGCACCTGGAGGGCCTCCAGGCAGTACTTACGTCGCCCAAGGACCCCTCAATTGGCCCAAGAGGGCTCCAAGATGGCCCCAAGACCAAACCGCCGTCCCCGATACGATTCGATCGAGCCGCTGCGGGAGACAGGCGCGCCCACAGAGGCTCCAGAACCACCCGGAGGGCCATCCACGGGCCCCCACACAGGCCCCCAAGGAGGGTCCGAAGAGGCCACGAAGAGGACCCCAAGAGGCACGTCGAGAAGCCTCGAAGAAACCTGCAAGAGAATCCCAAGACGAAGGAAGAGGGGGAGACGGGGGACAGGGACTGGGAGGGTGTACTGAAGACCCACGTCAGCTCGGGCAGGACGCTAAGCTGAAGCGGGTCTTGAACTCAACCTCCCTCTTGCTACGCTCCTGCGCTGTCACGCTGGCAAGAAAGCCCAAAGACAGCCCTAAGAAAGACTCAACAGGGGGAACAAGAACTGAAAATCCGAATCTTCCGCCCCAAGAAGTCCCCAGGAGGCCCTGAAGAGGCCCCAAGAGGCCCCGAAGAGTTCACAAGAGGCCCCCATGAGGCCCCCACGACGCCCCGAGAGGCCCCAAGGCGGCCCCCAAGAGGCCTCAAAACGGACCCCGAAAACCCTGTTGAGAGCTCCCGTGACATCCCGACGAAAATCCTAGAGGCCTATGACCCACAACCCAGGCACGGTGGCGGAATGGGCCGCTGGCCACTCGCCGTATTTATGTAAGAGAGAGAGAGAGAGAGAGAGAGAGTGTGTGAGAGAGCGAGAGAGAGAGAGAGAGAGAACAAAAAAAAAGCGATGGACCCAACCCCTGCGAAATGCGGAGCAGGAGTAGCCTGGGAGATTTGACGAGGAGGCTGCGGCGTGACATGGACGCAATGTACTTCTGCGAGCGGCATTCGGGAGGTTCGCACGTCCCCAATCAAGGGAAAAACGATCAGTAACAAAGTGAACGAGTCACTAAGGAAGGTGGGCAAGGGGCTTGAAACGTCGGCGTGGCAGCAACAACATGACATGGCCCCCCAGGGAAGGCGAGGTCCCGCGCATGTCTGCGCAGTGCCTCACTCCGCTGGACCGACCAGCAGCCCTCGAAAGTGGCTACAAATTTGCAGATCGCAACCCCCCAAGGACGGGGAGATCACGCTCAGATCCGCGCAGTGTCTCACTCCGCTGGACTCACCAGCAGCCCTCGAATGTGGCGGCAAATTCGCAGATCGCAGCCCCCCAGAGACGGGGAGGTCTCGCTCAGATCCGCGCGGTGCCTCACTCCGCTGACCCACCAGGAGCCCTCGAAAGTGGCGGCAGGGTCGCAGATCGCAGCCTCCAGGGACGGGGAAGTCTCGCTCAGATCCGCGCAGTGCCTCACTCCGCTGGACTCACCAGCAGCCCTCGAAAATGAAAAACAAAAAACAAAAAAAAATCACAGATCGCAGCCCCTAGCGACGGCGAGGTCTCGCTCAGATCCGCGCGGTGCCTCACTCCGCTGGACTCACCAGCAGCCTGCGAAAGTGGCGACAGTTTCGCAGATCGCAGCCCCCCAGGGAAGGGGAGGTTTCGCAGATCGCAGCCCCCCAGGGAGGGGGAGATCACGCTCAGATCCGCGCTGTGCCTCACTCCGCTGGACCGACCAGCAGCCCCCGAAAGTGGCGCTAGCTTCTCAGATCGCAGCCCCCCAGGGACGGGGGGGGTCCCGCTCAGATCCGCGCGGTGCCTCACCCCGCTGGACCCACCAGCAGCCCTCGAAAGTGGCGACAATTGCGCAGATTGCAGCCCCCAAGGGACGGGGAGGTCTCGCTCAGATCCGCGCGGTGCCTCACCCCGCTGGACTCACCAGCAGCCCTCGAAAGTGGCTACAAATTCGCAGATCCCAGCCACCCAGGGACGGGGAGGTCTCGCTCAGATCCGCGCGGTGCCTCACTCCGCTGGGCCCGCCAGCAGTCCTCGAAAGTGGCGGCAATTTCGCAGATCGTAGCCCTCCAGGGACGCGGAGGTCTCGCTCAGACCCGCGCGGCGCCTGATTCCGCTGGACCCACCAGCAGCCCTCGAAAGTGGCGACAGTTTCGCGGGCAAGGCAAGAGGAGACAAGACGGAGGGGGGGCTGGAGGCGAGAGGCAGGAGGCGGGAGGAAGGAAGAAAGGAGGGAAGGAAGGAAGCGCGAGCAATGCTCCATTCAAAACGAATGCCCATCCAAGGAGGGCTGGGGAAAAAAAGAAGAGAGAGAGAGAGAGAGCGCGCAAACAATCGAAGGAGAGAGATAATTGCTAAGTTATAGCTGGACATACAAACAGTCATACATACCTACATACATACATGCATGCATGCATGCATGCGTGCGTGCGTACATGCATACATGTACACGCACATGCATACATGCCTACATGCATGAATACATACCCACAGACATGCGTACATGCATAGATTCATGCATATATGCATACAGACATACATGCATGAATGTACATATACATGTAAATGAATGCATGCATACATGCACACATGCATGTACATGGACACATACATGCATACCTACATATGTACATATAAGCACACGTATATGTGTACGTGCATACATACATACAGGCATGTAAACATACATGTATACTTACACACATACATATCTGCATACATGCAAACATGCATGCAGACATGCATACATGCATACAGACATGCACACCTATACGCCTGCATATATATATATATATATATATATATATATATATATATATGTGTATATATATAATATGTATGTGTGTGTGCCTAGTTGCATGCATGCCTACCTACCTACATACATGCATGCATGCATGCATGCATGCGTGCATGCAAACATATGCATACATATACAGACATGTCTACATAGATGCATGTATACACACATGCATGCATGCATGTATGCATGCATACATGCATACATACATACATACATGATACATACTCGTATACATTCATACCCATACGAGTACATACATACTTTCATGCATACAGGCATGCAAATATACATACATACATACCTACATACCTACATACCTACATGCATACATGCAGACATGCATACATACATACATACATACCTGCATGCATGCATGCATGCATGCATGCAAACATTATATTATAATACAATAACGTGCATTACATTACACTTCAATACATTACATTCTATTACAATACATGTAGGGGCCCCAGGACACACAACTGAATACACACAAATAAAAAGATTCCATATATTTTCCCTTATTTTCAGGGTTTCTGTGTTCCCCCCCACTTCCCATATGTTCCCATATTTTCTGGGGAATCGAGGATTAATTGTGTCTGTGTGTTTCTTTTCCTCCTGAATACAATACCATGCGATACAACACCTTACATTACACTAGATTACATTACATCACATGTATGTATGCATTCATACATACATACATGCATATAGAGAGGAGGAAGCAATACATAAAAAAATAGGAAAACGAACATACGCGAACATCCGTAGAAACACGGCGTATGCCAGACTGGGGCCGCCAGCAGCAGCTGTTCTCCGAATATCGACACCCTCATGCAAGAACGACGACGACGATGGGGAGGCGGGGGAGGGGGGGACGCGGACGACTACGACGACGACGACGACGACCACCACCACCACAACAGCGACGACGACGACGACCAGAACGACGACCACGACGACCACGACGACGACAACGACGACAACGACGAAAACGACGACGACGACGACGACGACGACGACGACGACGACGACGACGACGACGACGACGACGACGGCGGCGGCGGCGGCGGCGGCGGCGGCGGCGGCGGCGGCGCGGCGGCGGCGGCGCGGCGGCGGCAGCTCTGCCCAGGCGGCCCGCCTCGGGCAGCTGGTCGTCCAGCGAGTCGCCCGAGGGCCGCCGCGGGGGCATCGCTGGGTGGCACTTGACGCTCAGCGGCATCAGCGGCCCTCGGTGAGGGGGGGGCAACCACCCCTTAGGAGGCAACTACTGGGAAGGATTACTTTGGTTACTTTGGGTTTCTCAATAAGCGTGGGGGAGGTCCCTCCGACGGGGGTCAACCTCGCCTCGTCGTCGCGCCGCGACGGGGGTCGGAGCGCCTTCGGCACGCGGTGGCTGCCCGCGACGGGGATCGATGTGGGGCTGTCGGCCGGGGTGACGCCCCCCCGACGCTTGTTAAGAAACTCGGGGTAGGGAGAATCAAGCCCTATTGGGGGGCTGCTACGCTGGGTTGGGCCGCGGACTACGCGGGAGTAAGCCGGATTGAGCGGGATTAAGCTGGATGAAGCGGGATCAAGCTGGATTAAGCCGCTTTTCAACAGGCCAGACCGCAGAGACTGGCACTGAGACGACCTTCGAGACCCTGCCTCAGAAGTCGGTCCCTAGACGCCGTCAAAGTCAAGGGACGCTCCAGGATCAGCACAGGACATGAAATCCCATAAAAAAAGCTGGGTCGCATTCGGGACTGACCTTATAGCGGTGGATACCCGAGGAAAGCACTGGGAGGCCAGACCAGCACGGGGCCGGGACCCCCGACCAAGCGCGAGCAGCCTGCGGAACCTGAACGAGGTGCACCATGGGGCAAGACTCAGGTCGGGCATGTCCTCCTACAGGCGGAGTTCGTAAGAAGCATGAAAGACAGTCAAAAACATATTCAAAAATATGTCAAAAAGGGTCGGAAAAATCGCCCCCGACCATTACCTGACTATCTTTGAATATTCCTCCTGAAGGGGGGGGCATGCCCTCGGGGATCTTCTGACCGGGGTCAATCCAGACCCGGGTCCGTCAGGCCTTGCAGAATCCTGCAAGATCCTGCAAGATCCTGCACCCCAGGCTCCTGCAGGATCCTGCAGGATCCTGCACCCAAACCCGGGCCAGTGCGACCCTGGAGCTGCAGGATCCTGCAAGATCTGGCGCTCTGGCCGACCCCCGCTCGCCCTGATAAAACGGGGCTAGGATCGGGATAAATCGATCCAGAGCGTTCCGGAGCGCTCTCAGAGCGTTCCGGAACGCTCTGGAGCGGCCGCGGCGCCCAATACATCCTCCAAACCCGCCGATTCTCAGAGATTTCGAGTTATCCCGATCCGATTGTCCCGATCTTCGCGTCGTTTTACCTGACCCCCGTCTCACGGCTCCCAGCTGCCCGACTCACGGCGAGACTCCGGGCGCCGGAAGCGGGAGGAAGCCGGGCAGAGGCGCCGCCCCCGCCGCGGGCCTCCTCCTCGCCACGGGCCGGACCCCGCGGGGCCCGCGCGGCCAGTCCAGGAGGAGGGAAACGACGATGATGAAGAGGACCAAGGGGAGGAGGAGGAGGAGGAGGAGGAGGAGGAGGAGGAGGAGGAGAGGAGGAGAGAGGAGGAGGAGGAGGAGGAGGAGGAGGAGGAGGAGGAGGAGGAGGAGGAGGAGGAGGAGGAGGAGGAGGAGGAGGAGGAGTGAGGAGGAGGAGGAGGAGGAGGAGGATGAGGAGGAGGAGGTGGAGGAGGAGGATGCTGAAAGGAGGGAGGAGGAGGCGGAGGAGGAGGAGGAGGAGAGGGGAGGAGGAGGAGGAGGGGAGAGGGTAGGAGCAGGAGGAGGAGGGAGGTGGGAGGAGGAGGAGGAGGAGGAGGAGGAGGAGGTGGAGGAGGGAGGAGGAGGGAGGAGGAGGAGGAGGAGGAGGAGGAGGAGGAGGAGGAGGAGGAGGAGGAGGAGCAGGAGGAGCACCCTCGGTTTTGACCAGGGGGACCCCCTGGCGCCAGCTGCCTTCTCGGTCGGCCAGAGAGCGGCGCTCTGCCAGCTGCTGGACGAGCTCTCGCGGCAGGACCCAGACGTGAGACTCTACTCCTACTTGGACGACACCTACCTGGTGCTCCCAGCGCACCTCGCCACGGCCGCACTCCGCCGCTTGGGAGAGCTCCTGGAGCCCCTCGGGCTGGAACTCAACGCCAGAAAGACGCAGGTGTGGTCTCCGTCTGGGCCGCAGGCCGCGCCCCCTGAGCTGCGCGCGCACTCCGTGCCAGCCCTCCCCGTGCTCGGCGCGCACCTGCGGGCGCGGGGCGACGTGGCCGACGCGCCCTTCGAGCTGGGCCAGACCAGCGGCCTTGAGCAGTCGGCCGGGCGCCTGACGGACGCAGCTCTGGAACGCCCTCTGGCCGCTCGGGAAGCGCACGGTTGGCGAGCACGGCCTGTCGCTGCAGGCAGCTGGGAGTTTGCTGCGCACCTACGCGGGCGCCTCGAGCCAACACGTCTTGCGCGCGCAGCTGGCGGGCGAGACAGAGGCGGCTCGCTACGACGCAACTCTGGCAGGCTACTGGGAGGAGCTCGCCGGGCGGCCCCTGGACGCCGCTGCGCGGGAGATCCTCGGCCTACACCCTCAAGCTCTCTGGCGCGGGGCTGCAGTGGGCCACTACGCGACGAGCCGCGGCCTTCTGGGCTAGGTGGACCGCGTGCGTGTCCAGCGTGGCCGCGGACCTCGGCGCCGACTCCCTGCTCGAGCTCCTGGACGCGGCGCCGCGCCTCGGCGACGCCCTCTCCGACGCGCGGAGAGAACTCTCCCTCCAGGGCGCCGACCCCGCGCCGGGCGCTTCCTTGCTGGACGCCCTGCAGCACCCGGCGAGGCAGAGCGCCCTCGCGCAAGCTGTGCAACAGAAAACCACCTTTCTCTGCGGCAGCGTTTGCACAGCCACGAGCGGACGACGCTCCTGGGGGCTGGAGGGCCAGGGGCCGCGGGGTTTCTCGGTTGCCCGAGCGATCCCGCGTGCTCGATGGAGGACGTGCTTTGGGCCACGGGACTCCGTGCCCGCGCGCACCTCCCTAGGCCTGAGTGTGCGCAGGCAGAGCTCCAGAGGGCGGCGCAGACCTGCCAGAACCACCCTGCCGCCGAGGGAGCCCGCGGCGCGCCTTGCGGCCGGCCGCTGGACGAGCAAGGCACGCACGCGGCCACCTGCGCCCTGGGCGGCGGCGTGGAACGCCGCCACAGCAGCCTCGAGAACGCGGTGGCTGGCCTGGTCCGGCGCTGGCTGCACCAAGAGCCGCTGACCGAGTAATGGGTGCCGGCTTGGGACCGGGCCCGCCGCCAGCGGCCAGCGGATCCGCCAGACGCGGACCTCCTCGAGCGCGCGGTCCTGAACGTCGAGTACAACGACGGGGCTAGCCGCCACTGGATCGATGTCTCGGTCCGCAACCCTGCAGCCGAGGACGGGGTGCACGCGGCGGCGCGCCGGCTTGGCGAGGCCGCCAGGAGAGGCGAGCGCCAGAAACACGCCAGGTCCCAGGGGGGCAGACTGACGCCATTCGTGGTGGAAACCCCGGGGCGCCTCGGCGGTGAGGCCAGGCAGTGGCTCCTGCGGCAGGTGCGTACGCTGCCGGCAGACCAGCAGCTCGGCGAGCTGACGCGGGCCTAAAAGGCCATCAGCTGCGCCGTGCAAGCTCAACTGGCGCTGCAGCGCCGCCGAGCAGCCGGGCTGGCCCGAAGCCACGGGGAGCGGCCCGCCCAGGCTGCTTCGCCGGGCTGATTCCTGGCCAGGGCCAGGCCGCCACCTGGAACAAACACAGGCAAGGTGAGCGCGCCTGTCCTGGTGCATAGTTTTGTGGTTCAGTTCCTCATCCTCCCCGCTTCTTGCCCCAGGCGGGCGCACGCGCGCGCCTAAGGGGGGGGTCGGGTGGCTCACACCCCTCCGCCGCGCGCCCGTCCCCTCCCTCTTCCTGTTCCTTCCTCCTCCCTCCTCCTGCAATAGGTCGTCTTCCCAGACGTGCGATGCAACTGTTTCCGCTTAGTGTTTTACTTTTTGGGGAGGGGGGCTCTGTCCTGTCCCTCGGTGTGCCGCCTATGCAAAGCCGCACCGAGGGGCGAAAAAATGTGATGGGCCCCCCTTCGTTTGTTTACAGACTTCTGTTACACGGTTCCCTTAGTGCGTGCTGTGGACT